TTGATCCTAGAGGGTGGTGGCGTTCCCACGGCGGATGCGGAAAACTCGGCTTTCAGCCGAGTCTCACGCGAACCATGAAATTTTTTTTATTTTTTTTATTAAACTGGTTTTGGGAACCATCTCCATGTACAAGGGGCAGTTTTATAGGTCCCATTTTCAGTTTTATAGGTCCCATTTTCAGTTTTATAGGTCCCATTTTTCCCAAAAAAACTCCATTTTATAGGGGATTCACACTAGGCCCTGGCGGATAATGCTCGAAAAGGTGGCAGATTCTGCTCGAAAAGCAGTGAAATTGGCAGAACCATACAAACCGTATCGCGCAATTCCTCGAATTCTGCTCCATTTCTTTATCCACATACCAAACACGCATGAAACTCACCAGAAAAGTACCGAATTCTGCCAATTTTTCTGCCGGCATTGTCCGTCAAGGCCTAATTCACACACACGGGTAAGACCACGGTTTTGGGAAAGTTGTTATGAAAACCATGGCACTAGGGGAAAGGAAGAACCTCTCGGGGAAAAATTGGCAAAGCCGTTGCCGTGGGCCTCAGGGGGGAAATCCCATGGCTATACGGCGCACTTAAATCTTGTCTTTGGCAAGAACTCCGAACCCTACTACAAGTGTATCACAGCCTGTATTTTCAGACAGTACGAGGTGATTTGGCTTTTTTAACATTTGGCATTTTTTAACAAAATGTGTATAATTTGCTTTTCTTCTGGCTGTTTCTCTGCTCCGGATGGCTGTATCGAAACATGGGTGGTGACAAATGAGAGCCAGTTTATCGTAGATCAACATAGACCAGAAAATTTGGTGCATATAATTTAATTCTCTCTGCCACGTCGGTATACCTAGTGGTGGGTGCTTTGCCATTTTGTGTGAAATGTGTCAAATAAGCCCCTGAATGGATGAGGAGGACGGTGAATTGCTTCCGCAGGGCCTTTGGACGACGTCAGGCCGTCTTGCCATCACTAAAGACAATAATGAAGAACAGTAGGTCACGGAATACACTCTGTGAGAACGAAAACATGGCTGCGATGCTATGCTACCTATCCAATTCTACCGTATGACACAGCCACTAGTTACAAATACAAAAACACGGCTTTCGCAGCATACAATGCAGTTGACAGATTAATTTTCATCCACTAGCAATCCTTGAAGTGATATCTATCAACTTCAGAACATTGATGACCGAATATCCCAGTTTGTGATGCCATTTTTTGAATCTTGAGAATACTATGAAAGTAGGACATGATTCAAGACACTTTCCAAAGTGGGATCATTCCCATTTTTGAGACAATATGCATGAAGGATAGCACTTCCACTTGCAATAATTCATTTGGATGTAGCTTGCCTAGAAGTGGCTGAAAAAACGTCATTTTACAACCATGTTAAAAAAACTTTAAGAAAGCCAAATCACCTCGTACCAAGAGTGCATAAACAAGAGTGCAACTGTGGTTATGGGCCAGTGCGCGGCGCGCTGCCTTCATTACGTAACTTGCCTTCACCACGCTCTGGAAGCATGCATTCAAACTCAATTTCTCGTACGAGCCCATCTGTTTTTGCTCGATTCGTTCCAGTACCTACGCAATCTCTAAATTCTGGCGCGTGAACTCCACTTCCGTACGAAAGTTCATTTCAAACCAGAGGAAAAGTGCGGTGTTTGATTTTCCGCAGTGCGCGGACTGCAGCTGAATGATGTAATGAAGGCAGCACGCCGCACACCTGGCCCATAGAAAAGAGATCACAGTTGCATACTCTTGTTCATGGACTCTTGCTCGTACCCATCGGAAAATGTTGCATGGCGAATGCAAAACATAGGACAGAATGTACTACAAAAATGCAATACAGATTATTTTTTTAATTCCCCCTCCACAAATTCATGGCCAAACATGCGGCCAAAGGAAAACTGACCGCGGGTGTGAGCTCGGTTGACCGAACGTCTGAACTTTTACCTTGTCCCGTGACCTCAGGTTTCCCCGTGAGTGTGAATCCCCTATCACCATAGTTTTACCGGTTACAAGTCGACCCCCAGTGCGGTGCTTGGGGCCTCGATTTGCCCCTTCAATATGGATACGATCAATAGTGGTTGAACCCCGTTTCTAAATCGACTACCCCTTATTTAATTCGGGTTTAAAAAAATGTCACGGTTTGCTTGAGACTCAGTCAGACTGAGTTTTCAGCATCCGTAGGAACACCACTGCCCTGCAAAGATCTAAGGCACAGATGCAGCTCCTAAAGCGGTGGGAGATGAGTAGATCAGCCCACCAGCAAAGTGGGCAAAGACCGAAAATCCCATTCACTGCATCTATGTTTCCCTCGTGCCAGGCCACAAGTTCCTAATTAACTGTGGGTTGCAGCATAGCTGAAAAAAATGATTAAAAAAATAAAAATCCTTCCGCTTCCCAGCAGGACTTGAACCTGGTACCCTCTGTTTCTCAATCATGGTCTTAGAGCATAAATGGTCGACTTATAACCGGAGAAATACGGTATCTACTGGTTGGTTTACCTGGCGTCTCCCTCCTCTCAAAGATGAACGTGGACAGGAATTATAACACAAAGGCATGGTAACACCAAGGGAGCTGTGTCGGCTTGGGCGGAATGGAAGAAGCCCTCACACCACCAGGAAAGTCCTGATGAGCTTGTGCTCTGATAGTACGTGAAATTTGACGCGAGAACACTCTGGCTCTGATCTACACGTGCGAGAGTCAACCGTGTACGTCCTGCTACACTAGGCGGGAGATGTTACAGTACGGTCATCGATGGCCAGCATCGCTCTGAGACAACATTTATTTAAAAAAAAGAAGGAGGAAAGATCTTGGTCTGCGCCGAGTGAAACCCACCTTTTGAGCGTGTATTTCCCTGCCAGCAAGGTGCCATTTTGATGACAACTCCAGGGCAGTGTGTATCAGGGAGTCGTCAAATACCTCGCTGGTGTGTACACACAGGTTCTATGCAATATGAACAGAGCACCCAGCCCTGGCACACCGGGACCATTTTTTCTGTACAAATCTCACTGGGTGGCGCCCAGTGTACATGTATTTGAGCCGACGGTATGCCACTCTGCTCATTTTCATATGGACATTCAGTACTGTCGGTCGCTGAAAAAGGAACGGGCCAGGATTTCACCAAGCACAGCGTACCCATATACACAGTGACACGGTGACTCAACTGTACATAAACTGTAGTACAGGTGGAATCCTGATAATTCGAACCTTAAAATGCCAGGAAAAAACTTCTTATTATCCAAACATGAACCCACAACACAATATGTATGTCAAAATGCTCTCATGGTCACGCAGAGTTGGGCTATTGACCTAAGACACAGATTCAACAGACACTGAACTGACCGGCACAGCCTGCTCATACAAACTGAACTGACCAGTACAGTGTACAGTGAACTTCGAATTACACTTTGCTAACTTCGAATTATTACCGTACTTCCCCACATATAAGCGCATGGGCTTATAAGTGAACATTTGCTACAAAAAGATATTTTGCAGTGTGAACATGTTCAGGTAGAAGCCCATGCGCTTATATGTGCAACAAAGGTATGTCTGTGTCCTAAACAACGGTTTTATCACAGGCCCGTCGCACTGACTTTGGAGGTGGGGCGGCCATGGAAGGGGGTCCGGGGGCCCTCCCCGGGAAAAATTTCAAAAATTGAAGCCAATTGCAAGCATTTCCGGGCATTTGGTGCCATTTCAGTGTAGCTACAATGAAAGACTTTTTGATTCTGCAACACGCCAAGAAGACGCTACGATCGGGGACAAGAATTCTTCATTATCCTCCCCCGGGAATTTTTTTCAAAAACTGAAGGCAATTGCAAGCATTTTCAGGCATTTGGTGCCATGTCAGTGTAACTAGTGCAATGAAAGACTTTTTTGATTCTGCAATAAACCACGATCGGGGACAAGGATTCTTCATTATTTCCCATCTTTGGGCTGAGCTGCGATCTTCGCGCTTAGCTGCAATGTGCTCCAAAAAAACAAAAACAAAAAAAAACGGCCGAAAAAGTGGGCTGTGACGGCCTTGTATCACAGTGCTTGGCAGTATATTCAGCTCCCGGGTGTTTCACCAATAGTCTTCACAATGTGCTTATAATTGGGGGGTGGCGGGGAGGGGGGGTGCGCTTATGTCCGGACATAAGCACAATGTCATGCGCTTATATGTGCGGAAGTACGGTAGCACAAATCCCACACATTTTCTATGTACTAGTAAGTGGAATCCGTGGGACTTCTAATTAACCGGACATGTCCAGTTTTAGGTTCGAATTATCAGAAACCTTTATGTGGGAATCGTATTGATAGAAATCGGTCCTGGAAAAAACTTCTAATTAAGCGGTATGTTCGAATTAAGCCATATTCGAATTATCAGGATTCCACCTGTACATAAAAAAAGAACGGCCTAGGCTACAAGGCTGCCCCTCTCCCCCCCCCCCCCCCCCCCACACACACACACAAGTTCTTTGTACTGTATTTCCTTGCTTCTCTTGTGCACGCCGATTGTCTCTATGTCTCTATGTGTCTATGTGTCTATGTGGTCTCGCACTTCAGTGCAGGGTGGAGTGTATCAGTGATTTCCGCCCGACCTAGGAACTAAGGGTGCGTTCTTATATTCTCTAGCTTCTCGGAGAAGAAGAAAAGAGAAGTCGAAGAAACTGGTATAATTCAAGAACGGGTCTTGAAGAATTCAGAGATATGTTGCACGTGTCAAACAGTATGAAGCGCCAAAGGGGCCGCGATCTTGAGTTATGAATGGTTTGAAGTAGTATGCACTGCGTATGCGCAAAGGGAAATGCATACACTCATGATCAACACGTGACTTTTAGCCATTGTTCGCATGCTTTGGAGAGCCTCCCAAAAGTCGGAGAGGATATAAGAACAGCTCTCGAACTTTTCGGAGAGTCTCCAACTTTTCCGAGAGGATTTAAGAACGCACCCTAAGCCTTCTATTCACACCTGTCTACACTGGTGCTGTTATTTTCTGTTGTCCATGCTAGGACTACAAAGATGCACCTTTGGTTCAGCAGATCTTCCTGGACTTCCTGAAAGAGCCGGCAGACAGTGTTCGTCGCCAGCGTAACGGACTCTACACGTCTTATCTCATTCACTCTAGTCATGGCAAGACGATCAAGGTGAGCCTTACGTAGCCCCTGCAGTCCATTTCAAAAAGATTAGCAATCCTTTTAAACTGATACCGTACTGGCGCGATTAGAGTCCTCTCTTGAATAGTGCCCCAGTCTCCAAGAGCCAGTGAAATTAAAGTCCTCTCTTGAATAGTGCCCCCCCCCTCCCCCCCCCCCCCCCCCCCCCCCCCCCCGCTTGTAACGAAGCGCATGTACAAGTTTGGTGTTTTTTTGGGTAATGTTGTTGGCCCTGTCATTGAACTGGTGGTTTCAGGATTGTTGCCCTTCCTGGTGAGTCGTGATAGTTTACAGAAAACTTTAGGCGCTGTTTTCTTGGCCTTCTTTGTTTGTATGTAGGATGACGTAAATGCACTAGCATTGAAAAAAATAGTGCCCTCTCTTGAATAGCGCCCCACCTCTGATGAACATTGAAAATATAGTGCCCCGGGGGCACTAATCGCGCGAGTACGGTAAGCGACCACAGTGGTCTAATACTCGGGGACGCTCTGTGCAGAAATCCCAAGTGCTGGCTGGCTCTGACGGAAAGGTGGACAGTCAGAAGCTCAGTGGATATGATTGCTTAAAGGGGAAGTGCATCGATTTTTCAAGTAGGGCTCAGATGAAAGACAATTGGATATCGGTTCCGATGGTATATCTCTCGCTTGCGTACGGCAAGGGAAACTTGCCATATCGCCGATTTCCTGATCCCGTTTCCATGGCGACTACAGGTGATGACGCACATTCTGCTTAGCTCCGTGAGAGAGAAGGTCGATCACTGAAGAATTGTGTCATTTTCAGTTGTCTTCTTGTATTCACGAAGTGAAAGAAGTACTGTGTTCAAGGCTGTTAGTGCCGTGAACTGTTTATTAGTAGTCCTCTCCGTTGTGTACTGGGACATGACACCGACAGGGGAAAGCTGGAGTGCGGAGACGTTAGCTGGCAAGCGAAAATCGTGACGAACCAAGTGCTGAAATCTTGGTTGGGACAAATCAAACGTTCAGCATTTACCTCAACCAAGGACCATGCCGTTTGCTCTTTCCACTTCCTGAAGATGGATGCACTGCCTGCTGGAGACTCTCCTATCTCTCGTAACATCTTCTGAAGCCAGGTGAGACGACGAGTAGCGGAGATTAGCGAACGAAATAATGTCGTATGTTTTGAATTTTTTGCTGAACATATCTCAGGAGAGATGGCATGTATGAACTTAGTCCATGTGAACTCAATCAGCCCATGAACTAACCCATGAACAAATGCTTTCCTTGCAGACGTGCATGTGTCTATCCAATCTACACGTAGAGATCATTCCATGCCCTCAGTGAATGGCCTATTTATTATTATATTATTTGTCCATACACTTCATCTGCATGTTGTCTCTATGGAGAAGGGTATTGTTCATTTCAAATGAAGAAGTTCGGGCAATAGATGCTTTCCTCTGGTACAATTCTGTTGACCTGATGTTCTTTCTAGCTTCATGGGTAGCTTACGTGAGGTACCATCACCATCATGTTTACATGAGGGTCAAACACTGCACCGTTCTTTGTCGTGACATGACATAAGTTATTGTAAGTGCTCGCAGACTCCATGCGTTCCAGCAACACCTAGCATGGTTTTCCGTGAACGTTGTGGGTGAACAAATTCCTGTCCAACATATTTATACAGACATGCCAGCACACGAAATGCACCATACGCACACTTGCCCTGCCCTGTCGAGTCACTGCCACGTGGCCCGGAGGGGCAGTGGAGAGAGAATGGGAGAACGCCGCCCCATGGCGCCCGGGACACAAAAACAAGAGTTTGTCTACGTATGGAGCAACACACATACATATACATACACCACACACACACACACACACACACACACACACACACACACACACACACACACAAAATGAGAGTTTGGGTCATCTGCCACGAGACTGACGTACGGCCGGGAAGAGCTTCAGCAGCGGTGTCTATTCCTGCCCTGGACCGAACGGAAGCAGCGGTCGCAGGACACACAGTATTCACCACAACACGGCTCCACTGTCGTTGGGGGCTGAGCCACACACTTGTGACGAGCAAGAACGCCACAGCTAAGAAAGCAACGGCCACAGCGATCACACTGGCATGCTCCACGCTGATCCTGCACACACACACACACTCTCTCTCTCTCTCTCTCTCTCTCTCTCTCTCTCTCTCTCTCTCTCTCTCTCACACACACACACACACACACACACACACACACACACACACACACACACACACACACACGTGCACACATACTGCAAGAAAGAAAGAGAGCATGAGTGTCAGATTCTTGCATAGGAAGTGTTTATCAGCACACACTTATACATGCACATGCAGGCACTCAACGACCAACTATGCACCATGCCGTATGTTCGTCAAACATAAGATTGCAATACCAAAGAACAACATAAACAAGATCACTTACTTCGTTCTCCTCCAAGTGTGTCCTCCCCAGCCAGGCCATCTCCTGCATTTCCCTAGGCGGAATGTAACCTACGAAATGGTTTCTCTAGACTTGGAGAAGATGCTTGGTATTCGCCATCTCTCCTGAGAAATGTTCAGCAAAAATTTCAAAACATACGACATTATTTCGTTCGCTAATCTCCGCTACTCGTCGTCTCACCTGGCTTCAGAAGATGTTACGAGAGATAGGAGAGTCTCCAGCAGGCTGCGCATCCATCTTCAGGAAGTGGAAAGAGCAAACGGCATGGTCCTTGGTTGAGGTAAATGCTGAACGTTTGATTTGTCCCAACCAAGATTTCAGCACTTGGTTCGTCACGATTTTCGCTTGCCAGCTAACGTCTCCGCACTCCAGCTTTCCCCTGTCGGTGTCACGTCCCAGTACAGAACGGAGAGGACTACTAATAAACAGTTCACGGCACTAACAGCCTTGAACACAGTACTTCTTTCACTTCGTGAATACAAGAAGACAACTGAAAATGACACAATTCTTCAGTGATCGACCTTCTCTCTCACGGAGCTAAGCAGAATGTGCGTCATCACCTGTAGTCGCCATGGAAACGGGATCAGGAAATCGGCGATATGGCAAGTTTCCCTTGCCGTACGCAAGCGAGAGATACACCATCGGAACCAATATCTAATTGTCTTTCATCTGAGCCCTACTTGAAAAATCGATGCACTTCCCCTTTAAGTTAGTGGAACCTTGGTGTGAACATGTCTCCCAGCAGCTTCAGGATCTCAGTACCTTGGGTTGGAATTCCACTGAACGTGAACGGTGGAAGTGCTGGTGCAGTGCAGCTATGGCAGAGGCGGAGAAATTGGCGCTTGGCTGGTTCAAACTTGATGCGCCACCGGGCACTCCCAGGTAGCCTAGTTGTCAAACTGTGATAACCGCGTTGTGTAGTCGACGACCTACTACCATTAGCATCCTGAAGAGTGTGATTGCTGAGGTACAAATGTACCGTATTTCCCCGAATGTAAGTCGCACCTTTTTGCAATTAACTTCGGGGCCAACAAAGGGGTTGCGACTTACAAACCAGCATGATTTCTACTGAAGTGAATATACGGAAATGATATGACATAGACCTGGAAATAGGAGTGTGACTTACAATCGAGTGCGACTTACAAACGGGGAAATACGGTACACTGTTGTCCTGGAATCAGGAATGCTGTGTGCCAGAAACACAGACACTCGGGGCCTGGTGAAGGAGTGGAGTCTTTTGTGAGGGACCCGATCGACCTCACCTGCAATGTCTACGCTGACAACAGGCACACATCCACTGCTAGCCATGGCGTGTACCTGTTCATTCCGGAGAGCAGGGAGTAAATCTGCGATGCCTCGGCCACGGCAGAATCCAAACTGGCTGTCGGGTGGAGTGCTAGAGTGTTCCAAGGAACTAAACAGCTGCTGGTTGATTCTGCTTTTCATCACCTTGGGCAGGATAGCTAGCATAGATACAGGATAGCTAGCAAAGATACAGGATAGCTAGCAAAGATACAGGATGCTAGTTGGACAGTGTTTTCTTCTTCTTCTTTCTTTTTTGCTAAACCTATTGTGTTCCTGTTGTGTTGTTTGTGCAGCTGATTCTGCTGGATGTTCGCTCTCAACTGGACCGTGCAACGGCCGATGTACTGGGTGCCGAGCAGTGGCAGTGGTTGGAGGCACAGCTGCAGGCCGGTGCTGCTGGAGAGGCCGACATGATGATCGTCACCAGCGGCATGCAGGTAGAGTAGACGTCAATGCAGGATAGGCTACCACTTTGCAGGTACTCCAGTGTATTGCGTGGGGTGCATTCTGTGTTGCTGTCATACAGGGTAGTAGTGTGCAGCTAGGAATAAATAGAATAGCAACTTGTAGTTAACAGTCAGTGCCATCTTGTTTAGTGAATGGTACACTGGTACTGGCTATTCAGAGGAAGGAGCACACTGATGGTGTACACAGATCAGTTTTCTATGTTTAACGGGGTGCTCGCTGATCACTTCTGTGAACGTACACACACGCACACACACACGCACACGCACACACACACACACACACACACACACACACACACACACACACACACACACACACACACACACGAACAGGCATGCCCGGCCTCCATTTTTCAATCGTATCGCCATGTCCGTACGCAGTGACTATGCCATGTGAACCAGTGACTACTTGCATATGCAATGTCGAATTTGAACAACTACCCATTCAGTGTGGTGATCATCCAGTGTTATCACTGGGCTGCCGAGTCACATGGACTATTTCTGCATTAGGTAGTCATACCGGTATGCACAGCACATCAATGAAAATTGCCCGCCGGGTTTTTCGAGCCGCTTCAACCTTAGCACCCACCTTTTTTTTCCTGGATTCGCGACTGACTAATTTGAAGCTGTTGGGGCGATTTTTGTGAAGACCGGCTCCAGCGTAGCTCCTAGAAGGCAGAAGAGACCGGCTGATGCTGTTTTTTCTTTTCTTTTCGGGAAAGGAGTCCTGGTGAACTGATGCTGCTGCTGATTGCGTTGTCTTGGTTTAGCCACACACCTGCCACAACCAGTAAGTGTTTGCGTTGTCTTGGTTTAGCCACACACCTGCCACAACCAGTAAGTGTTTGCGTTGTCTTGGTTTAGCCACACACCTGCCACAGCCAGTAAGTACTAGTAAGACTTGGAGAGAATGACAACCCCAGGAATGGTCTCCATTTAGCAATGCATTTCATTGTGTATTCAAACAATCTACATGTACATGAAGTGTCAAGTGCAGTTATGGTGTTGACCAGTTATACAGTGACTGATTGTAGAGTTGTGTTAATCCTAGAGTCGTATTAATAGTCCTAGAGTCGTATTAATAGTCCTAGAGTTCTATTAAAATCGTGTGTGCGTGTGTGCGTGTGTGTGTGTGTGTGTGTGTGTGTGTGTGTGTGTGTGTTGCAATAAGCATGGCGAGTGCATTGACAAAGTGGATTGCAGAAAAGGCGGCCACGTGCGTACATGTACAGTTCAGTAGTAGTTAACTCCATTTCCCACTCGTGTCGTGCCACAATTCAGCCCTATGAATGACGGGACGACTGATGGCGACTTTGCGTATTTGGTGATGCCCGTGCCAGCGAGCACACAGTGGCATTTCTTCCTGTTCTGCTCCGTCAGGCTGTGTGGTCAGCAGCACACTTGATTCATTCTGGACATCCACCACCAAACTGCATTGCTGCTGCCATAGAAGCGCAACGTGTTCCAAACATTGGCGTCGGTGGTGGCGATAGTGTTGTACCTAAAGAGGCGCCGCGTGATATGGTGGTCGCTTTCCTTATTTTAAGTCGTGAATAGGTTGGTGTTTGTGAGTTTACTGTAATGCCATGTTCAAGTACCCTTAGACAGTATTGTAGTTCACCTGACCGAGTAAGGTGGATCATCTCTGGGCTGTGGGCTAGGCAAGGAAGGAATGGGCGTGCTCGGCTGGCCATGACCTCAGTGGCGTGCACAAGCACGTGAAAAGCTGTGTATCTCCGTTTGGTCTTGTGCACTGGCCCCGCGTGGTTGCCAGCCGTGTGGTGCTTGTACAGATAGTAGCAAGTGTGTGTGTGTGTGTGTGTGTGTGTGTGTGTGTGTGTGTGTGTGTGTGTGTGTGTGTGTGTGTGTGTGTGTGTGTTGTATTATGTACTTCAGTATTGGTACGAGAGTGCTGACGTTTCGTGTCCAAAGCTGAGCAGTACTGCAAAGTCTGCAATGACACATTGTGTCTGGTGGTTGCTCCAGTCTGTTCTAGTGTCTGAAAACCAGCTGTTACTTCCTGCGCTCTGTTAGTGCTTGCTTGATTTACGCTTGTGTCGTTGCAGCATGTCCGCTCGACATATAGTGTCCGGATGGGGTGTCGGTACTGACGTCTGATGTGGTCAGTGCCATGCCCATACCCGTGGTGTGTGTGTGTGTGTGTGTGTGTGTGTTTGTGTGTCGGAGATTTCGGCAGTCCAGGGACCTGACCCGGCACCGGCGTGTTTGCTCCTCTCCCTCCTCCCGCAATGGGACCACGTAACCTTTACGGCAGTGGGTCAACAGGACAGGTGTGTGTGTGTGTGTGTGTGTGTGTGTGTGTGTGTGTGTGTGTGTGTGTGTGTGTGTGTGTGTGTGTGTGTTGTATTATGTACTTCAGTATTGGTACGAGAGTGCTGACGTTTCGTGTCCAAAGCTGAGCAGTACTGCAAAGTCTGCAATGACACATTGTGTCTGGTGGTTGCTCCAGTCTGTTCTAGTGTCTGAAAACCAGCTGTTACTTCCTGCGCTCTGTTAGTGCTTGCTTGATTTACGCTTGTGTCGTTGCAGCATGTCCGCTCGACATATAGTGTCCGGATGGGGTGTCGGTACTGACGTCTGATGTGGTCAGTGCCATGCCCATACCCGTGGTGTGTGTGTGTGTGTGTGTGTGTGTGTTTGTGTGTCGGAGATTTCGGCAGTCCAGGGACCTGACCCGGCACCGGCGTGTTTGCTCCTCTCCCTCCTCCCGCAATGGGACCACGTAACCTTTACGGCAGTGGGTCAACAGGACAGGTGTGTGTGTGTGTGTGTGTGTGTGTGTGTGTGTGTGTGTGTGTGTGTGTGTGTGTGTGTGTGTGTGTGTGTGTGTGTGTGTGTGTGTATGCCAAGCTTGCACTGACTGTGGTTCAGTTTATTTCAATGTTTTAGTTCCGTCATGAATCAGCTGATCCGTTCCGTATTCAACTCATAGTCTTGTCTACATGCAGCAGAATACCTTGGCGACACAGGCTAGCCTAAGTTTGTCAATAGTAACCAGTACTAACCAGTAGTAACCAGTACTAACCAGCAGCAAATAAGACGTAGCGGTCATAGAACATAGTGGTACCACTGGCACTGGTTCTGGGCTTGGCCCGCAAACGCCCACTGCTTGCAGTTGTAGTGGCAGTGCGTGTCACCCCCTTTGTTCTCCTTGTTGCTGATCTGATCAGTTAGCATGTGGCAGCAGGACGCTGGCGGCAAACTGCAGTGGCAGAGCCCTGTGATGATCCGCCGCGGTGTGCTGCATGAGAATTAGGTGCTGGCTCGCCGTTCTTGCTTGGATCATCCGTTCTTGCTTGGATCATCCGGTCCCTGCTGCAAACTGAGATTGGTCTGTAGCCATGGTAGCTGCCGAGTCGTTACTAGATGATAGTTTTGGTTCTGGCACATTCCACCCCAGGCCAGCTTTGCTTGCCTTGCGGCATCAGCTGGCCTGTTGTCATTCCTAAAATGTCGATGGTTTGCCTGCCGTTTGGTGGGTACTGTACTGGTCCATGCACGTGGACTGCGGGTTCATTATAATTATTATCATGACCAGCGTTGTCACCAATAGATCGATCCATTGGAATGGATGAAGCCATGTGGTGCCATTTGTTAATTTATTCGTGTTATGACAAGCGTGGGCACAGATATGAATGCACTTGAATGGATATAAGTATCATACAGTGTATAACCACGTGTCATCATTAATTTTATGACTTTTCAACTCACTTATGCATGGGATCAGTGCTATTTTGGTGGCTCTCGGGTCACACTTCTGAAGTTTTGTGTGATTCAGGCTTGCGCGGCAATTGTGGGAATTTGCGATCTGCAAACATGCTGTTGCGCCACCATCACGGCCACTACCATCACCAGCACCACCACCAGCATCACCACCAGCACCACCACCAGCACCACCACCAGCACCACCACCACCACCACCACCACCACCACCACCACCACCACCACCACCACCACCGCCACCAGCACCAGCACCACCACCAGCACAATCAGCAGCACCACCATCACCCCCACACCAGCACCACCAGCACCGCCACCACCACCAGCACCGCCACCACCACCAGCCACCAGCACCACCACCACCACCACCACCAGCAGCACCAGCACCAGTGTATGTTAATTGGTTGACAGCATGGACAGTATTACACTACCGAACGGAAAATTCCCCGCTTTACAGTATAGAATTGAAATAAGTAATACACAGGAGAGGGGATTGGAAGCTGTGTCACAACTCTGAGTTTCACGTATTACTACGATCATCTATGGCCATCTACGATCATCTATGGCCATCTACGATCATCTATGGCCATCTACGATCATCTATGGCCATCTACGATCATCTATGGCCATCTACGATCATCCTCGTATTCATGACACACTACACAAGTTGTATCGTGTTCAAGTGTTATTTCCATAGAAACGAATGTCTTCGAGTGACATTCATCAGTGGAGCACTCATCACTGGGGGGAAAGAAACAGCAACTGTTAACCCATTTTCCATGTTCCACTATTGACTTTTCTCACAAAATGGAACATACGGCCGGAACAATCGATTTCTGGCAGCATTTTCGCTGTGAGAACTGAAAAAGCACAAAAATCGAAAAAGTACTGTCGTGGACATGGAAATCCGGTCGCACGCCTAGCGGCCCCAGGGCGCTGACCATGCAGCCGTGGATAAAGCGGTACACACATGTACATCGTCATGCATTTATGCGCTGCGGCGCGCTGGTCGCATCGGATCACCAGATCACCATGTGCACTGCACGCAGCGGGCGCCGGCCCCGGTCAATCGACTGGACTTCCATGCCCGCTACAGTATGGTGGTGCGCTATTGTATCAGCAAGAGTATGATTGTAAGTTTGTAACCTCCCAAGAGTGCGCAACTCCTGATACCCTTTCTATGGGGTACGCCGAGTCACCAACGGCGAAAACTCACATCATGTGTACCCCCATGTACCAAGAGAGCCCCCCCCCCCCCCCCCCCCCTAATGCCCCACCTTGATTTTACAGCCAGGGAAAGTAAGCAGTATGGTGTAGTACAGCGAAGTTTGTACAGTGTGAGAACCCAGTGGCAGTGTACTAAGCCTAAGGTCACACTTAGCAGGTTTTGTGTAGAGCTCATGTCCCTGGTACTTGACGGTATTATACATGTACTGATGTTGAGCCAAAGTTATCATGGGTAAAAAGAAAGGACAACAGGACTGACTGAATATGATCTAGTTACGTTGGTGGACAGTTAGTCCTGGTGGACAGTTAGTCATGGTGGACAGGTAGTCATAACTCGTAACATTTCGTCCTTTCTTTTGATCTATATTCTGAATCAATATTTCAGCCTTGCTAATTGCTACTTACTCTCCCGAGGTGACCATGTACACATTGCCCAGAATTCACGTCCAAGGCAAGACTTCTCCTTCTACCCTGCGGCAAGCTGTGTGTTATTCTTGTATCACATGCCGCCACACATACACACACACACACACACACATAGATCCACACAACCGTACTGCTGTTTTTTTTGGGCCTTTGGGGCTTTATTGGAATCAATGCGAAATATTGTTACGCGCAGCACAACCAATAAAACCTGACCACTACGGTACAGTACATCTACTTGTACAGTGGGATCTAAGAATACTGCAGAATTAGCATTAGAACATTGCAGGTCACGATAAAGCAAAAAGACACGCCTGTCTGCCAGACAATACAACAAAAGAATAAGACTGTAAACTTATGCCAGCCGCAATAGGCATAGAACCATTTGGAATTCCGTCCACTCAAGACTGGATAATACAGCTTACTCAACACGCCATATATTATGAAGTCAAGCAAGACTAAAAAATAAAATAATGCATGTGAACATTGCATGTCACGATAAAGCAAAAGACACGCCTGTCTGTCAGACAATACAACAAAAGAATAAGACTGTAAACTTATGCCAGTCGCAATAGGCATAGAACCATTTGGAATGCCGTCCACTCAAGACTGGATAATACAGCTTACTCAACACGCCATATATTATGAAGTCAAGCAAGACTGTAAAAAAAAAAATAATGCATGTGAACATTGCATGTCACGATAAAGCAAAAGACACGCCTGTCTGTCAGACAATACAACAAAAGAATAAGACTGTAAACTTATGCCAGCCGCAATAGGCATAGAACCATTTGGAATGCCGTCCACTCAAGACTGGATAATACAGCTTACTCAACACGCCATATATTATGAAGTCAAGCAAGACTGTAAAAATAAATAATAAAATGCATGTGAACTTCACTTGTTCTGGAATACTAATAGTCAACTGTTGAGCCCGACTGTACATGACTGGATGACTGGATGGACCGACTGTACATGACTGGATGACTGGATGGACGTGTAATAGCACAGAGATGGAGGAAGAAAGAGTACGCTGCAAAATTAGCACGAGAATATAGGGGGTATAAGTTAAGACCGTATATGGATGGGGTTACGACAGTATACATGGGATCTGGACGGCATATAGCTGAGGTTAGGACGGTATTTACATGGAGTTAGGACGGTATTTACATGGAGTTAGGACGGATGCCTGTCAGCACTACTATTGTACCTCAGAGTCCTCGGTGTCCTCAACAGGCTGGGCCTCGGCGTCCTCAACAGGCTGGGCCTCGGCATCCTCAACCGGCTGGGCCTCTGCGTCCTCAACCGGCTGGGTCTCGGCGTGTTCAACAGGCTGGGCCTCGGCGTCCTCAACAGGCTGGGCCTCGGCGTCCTCAGTGGGCTGGGCCTTGAGAAAGCCAGCTTTCGCCCTGTGCTGCACTCTAAGGTGGCTCACCAGAAGTGATATCTGAGGGAAGGTCATGGAGCAATGCTCACACTGCATAGGCGTCTTATTGTGCTGCTTTATCATATGGGTCTGCAAATAATCCTGCCTATTGAAGGCTCCATTGCAGACGATGCAATGGTACGGCGTCTCGCCGGTGTGGGTTAGCGCATGCCGGTCCAGGTGTGAATTTCGCCCGAATGCCATATGGCAGACTTTGCATACGTGGGATCTCCTGCCACCCACTGGTATGGGCGGCTCGACGAGGCAGGCAAGTCGAGCCATGCCGAAACTGGTCTCCTGATATACGGGGTCTTTCGGTGACCTGCGTCTGGGCCCAGGTCCGCCCTGGGAGCTTCGTTTCCTCTTTCGCACCACAGGGGCACTCGTGTCTCCTTGCTGATCTTCGGGTGTGGAGACGGGCAACTGCTCACTATCGCCTTGCTGATCTTCGGTTGTGGAGACGGGCAACTGCTCGCCATCGCTGCTCACGTCATCCTCGCCATCGCTGCTCACGTCATCCTCGCCATCGCTGCTCACGTCATCCTCGCCATCGCTGCTCGCGTCATCCTCGGTAGCCAGCGGAGCTGTGTACTTCTGGTGGGGGTGCATTGATTTCCAGTGCTTGAAGAGCTTGGACGCGTCCGGGAATGTTTTATCACACAGTTGGCATGGCAACACCGGACAGTTGTGCCGTATCGCATGTCGTGACAAGTGGTCCGTGCGCGTGAAGATCTTGCCACAGATGTGGCACAGTGCTTTCTTTTCGTTCGTCAAATGCGTCAAAAAGTGCTGCTCAAGATGACGACGATACCTGTACACATGGCTATGGTTTGCCTCTGGGCAGACGTACACGTTGCGTCCGTGCTGGTCTGTATGGATGCAACATTCGGCCGCAAGCAGGTTTTGGCGCGCAATAGCGTCTTCATGGCTGATGCCATCGTCGACATAATCCTCTATCTCCGATCCGTTCTCCGAGTCCGCAGGTGTGTCGTTGATGGGAGCCTGCTGAGCAACTGATGGTCCATGGGTACCGATCAGACCGGCATCGTCAATATCTCCAGTCACATCGATTTCGTCTTCGTCCGTTACAGTCACATTACCGACTTGGATGTCGTCGTCGTCGTCATCGTCATTCTCGTGCTGTTGCCCAGCAGGGTTGGCATACGCATACTCATGGCTGGACGATGACGCTGGAGTGTCAGCTCTGAACGGCTGCTGGCTGTGGCTGATACGTGCTGGCATGGTAGTCCTCCGTCCCTCTCTCACTGAACTGGATGCCACTGAGAATGGCGGCTGCTGACGTGGAGGGGCGACGAAGTAGTTCATCCCAGGACGATGCACGTAGACGGCGTGTGGGTCCGGTAGCGGCATCTGCTGTGGTGCTGCTCGGGTTAGCTGCGGTATACCGAATCCAGGCACAGTAAACAGTTGCTGCTGCTGTTGTGTCATTGCCATTGGCTGGCCATGGGCCGAGGTGGCATACTGAGGACTGGGCGCCGCACCTACCAATGGCCGGCTTTCTGTTCCTGCCCTGACACCGCCTCCGTGAATGGGCAGGGTGGCTGCTGGATGGGTGGGCAGGGTGGCTGCTGGATGGGTGATCGGAACCGGAACCAGCACTACGTAACCGTCGTTAGTGGGAGTGTGAGTCCTCATGCTCATGGCCTGCGTTGGAGCAAGAGGGCTCATGGTCATGGCCTGCGTGGGAGTGGGAGCGCCCATGCTCATGGCCGGCGTGGGAGCGCTCATGCTCATGGCCGACGTGGGAGCGCTCATGCTCATGGCCGACGTGGGAGCGCTCATGACCTGCGTGGAGCTCATGCTCAAGACCTGCGTGGGAGTGAGAGCGCCCATGCTCATGGCCGGCGTGGGAGTGGGAGCGCCCATGCTCATGGCCGGCGTGGGAGCGCTCATGCTCATGGCCAGCGTGGGAGTGTGCATGATCATGGCCTGCATGGGAGGGTTAGAGTTCATTACATAGAGTGGCCCGTCTGCAGGTGACATGGGTACAGCCGCCATGGGGCTGATAGCGTCCGATTCTGATGGCATCATCGTAGACACGCCGCCGGCGCCGTATTGACTAAGGCACATATGGAAAGTGAAAACCAAGCGCACATGATTAAAATATCCACCAACTATTCAGCGTCAAGCCTGCCACAGGCGCTGAAATACAAATGATCAGTCCCAGGTTTAAAAAAAATCAGTTGTCTGATGATTGTGTCAAATAAATTTTCTGCCCAGAGAAGTTGTCATGTGGCTCCCTTTTTTATACCAAACAGTGTGTGCTAGTAATCGAAATTAGCATATCCTATCAGCACTGTTAAGTGTAATGATAGGATTACATCTACAGAAAGTCTCTATGTAGGTGACCATGGCTTCTCTACATTATGTGCCATGCCACTGGGTTTGCCTCGTCACGCTGGTTTGCGCAATGCGGGCCAGCAGGCACTGAGAGGTTGCTTCTGCACGTGTGCGGCATACGCGTGGCTGCACGTCTGGTCAGCAGACGTGCTGCTGACACCACACACTATGTCTGTATTAGACCCACAAGCATCAACGGCGCGCCCCGTGGTAGGAGTGCTTGGCTGCGGGCTCTGCTGCAGGTTTACCGAACGCCACACTACGCAGGCTCGAATCACATTGAATTGGAACCAAACGCTGCCGGTTAAAGACGACTAGTTTCAAAAAGGAGGATCTCCTTGATAGGTGTGGTTACATAATTTAGGCAGACCTATTGCTCCTTTTGAGTCAGCACTGGAATCATATTATGATATACTCCACTTTTGGAAAGAACAAGAAACAGCTGCTCTTCACCAGAAGACGCTGACGACCGCTCACAGCGCAATGCCAGAACAACTCAGCACCACCATGCCCCCCCCCCCCCTCTCACAACACACACACACACACACACACACACACACACACCCCACACACGCAAGTCAATACAGACTAGTCTTGGTATGCACACTCTCCACCAACCACCAACATTGGTCGCACGATCAGTGATCAGTGCGTATTCGACAGTCATTCGAAGGGGAATTCCCATTTGTGCAGGCGCTATAGTATGACTGGGTCAACTTGCAGTCAGGTGTTGCTGGATTCTCTTCCTGTGCCACTCCCAGCTAACTGTTAGCACTGTGATCTGAAGTCATCGCTGCTGTGACGCCGTGCCAGCAAACCATCACAGCCACGCAGTGAAAGGACCTGTGCCGTTGTGGCTGGTGACTGCGACCTACTGTTGTTGCATGCCTTCGTTTTCCTTGCAGAGGCCGTCACGTGTAGCCTCCTGTGTCCGATCCTGGTCACCCGATGTTGTGGTGAAACTTGAAGCAAGCCAATGCTGCTGACAAACTGCGCACCAAGTATATTTAATTACCAGTTGCATCACCCAGACCTAACAGGAGCACTCCCCTGCCCTGAAGAAATTTCAAGTACATGTACTGCTTGTAGTATTTTGCATGCAACGCGTACCTTCTTATTTTCTTTCGTGGTGGTGATAATCGCGGCTCTATTTCTCTCTCCCTTTCTGGCGACTAGTAGCGTTGCGCTTCCAAGGCTTTCTCTCCCTCGGGTCCTGCTCCTGTCTCAGCCTCTGTTTTCCACGACTTTGTTGGTTTTAATGGAACTGTCTTGCAATTTGTACTGTTCTGGTCTGGTACACTCTCTCTTTCTCTGCCTATGACATCACAGGGAGTGTTCACCCTAGGCTATAGTCCACTCACTGCGCTGTTACTAGTGTTAGTATCACCAGGGACTAAGTTGAGTGGCATTATAGGTCACAGGTAACATTGTCTGTGTTCCTTGTTCTTACACTTAGTGAGAGCATTTGTTCTTGATTCAGTCATTGTGTCTCTGCTTATGCAGTGATGTAGTGATTGGAGGTAGCACTAATGCTGCCCTGCATAATACAGCCCTGAGCTCCCCCTCATGTCAGCTGAGAACTACTACTACTACTAGTACTAGTACATGTACATGACATTGTACTTTGTAGTACTGACTGTACCCAGTGCCATGACAGGGTCAATCTCTTGTCAATGTCAGCCAGTTGTTGGGTTATCTATGCCCATGCCATGCCTGGGGTCGATTTCGTAGTGCCAACTCCATGTCGGCTCCCTGCCTAGCACAGAGTCAGTTCCAACGGCAACGAATCTATGGACCATGGCATGGTATACATGTACAGTCATACTAAGTCTCAGTAACTAGCCAGTGCTGGTCGTAATCATTTTCACCCCTATAACCCTATAAAACGCAGCTTCAATGCCCATTCTTCGTCGGAGGGCAGAAAGCGGACATTTCACTCCGGTACATGATAATGCACTGACTGTCTGTTGCATCTTGTCTGTGCCCTTACTACTACTAGTACGTCGTACTTCCATACCGGAACACACCACGCAAATCTTCTAGTACCAAGCGCCAGTCAGGTCCAGACAGCTCGCGCTAGCCTAGACCTTCATCTACTATCTAGCGCCGGAGACTTGACTAACTAATGCCTGGCTCTACTCGACAGTCCACAGATCTACACTACGTGTACTTTTAAATCTTCAGAATGCAAACGGTGGCCCAAACAAGAGGCGAATTCAAATCCTGGTGACACAAGTGTATCGTCTTATCGGGACCTCGCGCCGACAGAGAGCGTGCACGAACGTAATAATAATTATAACATTTTCCCGGGGTCACGAAGCTCGAAGATAATCAAACGATTCCACAACAAAGACGCAGAGTGCTACAATTAATAATGTACTACATTGTACTAACAGTTACTAGTATCGCCGCACATATCGACGTCGACGCAACACGTCCTCTTGAGCTCCGCGCAAGGCCTGTCATGTCACCTGGACACCACTCACTGTCAGTCAGGGCTACTATTACTAATAAAGGGCAAAAAGGCAGCTACATGTAGCTGTCCTCGCGCTGATCCATGATACTCTGCATGCTCTACTCATGTAGCTAGTGCGTGCGCAGCAAGTGCAAACCGTCGCGTATACCTAATCTATGTCATCCTGGCTTTGTTCAGCCACACAGCCACACAGGCGTACAACTAACTATTACTAGTAGTATGTACTTGTCTTTATTACAGCTTTCCGATCATTGTCATCATCCCATCCGGGCTTGGAAGTAACTAGTTTTTGTAGACGCCTACACCGTTTCCTTCGCGCAGGGCTAGATCATACATGTAGATGATCATCGTCTACACCACAAACGGCGTACAACAGCTAATGCTGAAAGTGCAAGCCTGTGTGAATGCAACACAGACCGGCAGTACATTGTACTCCACTCCTGGGGCTAATTAATTACTCAATACTACAATAGGCCTCATGCAGGCGCGCAACGCACTACTCCGCTTCACGTTTCGCCATTATTTTATTGACTTGTGACAAGTAACATAGTTGTGATCCCGTTTGAAGGTGCAAAGTAAAAATCCGGCCAACCAACGTGAGATCGAGCGTAAACTCTACATTAATTTTTTACTCCAGCACAGCGCGCTTCTTTGAATGAATGAATGAATGTAGCATGTAGCGGCAATGAGTAAGAAAGACTACCACCAGTACTTGTATAGTAGTACTACTAGTACTCGCGGAGCGCAGCTCGTTCTGCCAGGACAGCCGCACAAACGGCGTCACAGCTGATGCTGAAACATGCAACACAAAGCACTTTAGTACAAGTATTAGTTGCACTGATCCTGGGCCTCTAGATCTACATGTACATGTACATGGTCGTCACCTGCATCTAGCCTCGTACTGTTGTAGGTCTACTGTATGTAGGCAACACGCTACTCCGCACGACGCGACTTGACGTTTATCCGAGATCCAGTGTAGATCTACGTCTACTCAGCAGAGACTGAGAGAGGGCTTCTTTGAATGAACCACGCCAACTCTACCATACGAGCAAAGCCGATTTTCGCTGTCCGCACTAACGGCGGCAGCGATACGAACACCAAAAGCAAAAATTTGAAATACAATACATGCCACGTCACCGTCCCCGCATCCAAATCACACAGTAAGTTGCAATACAAGCACGACCCAGCACTATTGTACCGGATCTGCTGATATTAATATCGAAAATGCCAGATTGCATGCTCTCCGGGCAATGTTCTGCCGGAATCTTCTACCAGGTCTTGAGTGTTGGTTCCCTGATTCCCTTCAACAGTGCAGCGTTTCCTAACCTTAGTTTACTCACAATGACCTGAACTACATGCAGTGAAATAGACGACAAACAATTATTATCACGAAATCAACGGCCGTCATTTCTAAAAGCGAATCGTTTCTGCATGAAGTGCGACTCAGTGACTTACCCAGGAAAGTCGTGCAGAGTAGTGACAGATGTATTGTGCGATATCGATTTCCGCTCTTTTCACAGTCGTAATCCCAGTTTTACACCAAGCTCCGATGCACTCAGCGAATCCACGGACGACTCAATACTTCTACCAAACACTACAGCCCGTACAACTCTTCCAGCACTAGCCGCGTGTGATCTAAACGTGTTCCGCTGTGGAACTTCTAAACCGGAATTCTATGAAATGCCCAAGTTTCCTCTTCGTTGTACTTAGCTCCGGTGTACGCTGCGCAACTGGCTGATGTATCGAACTGAACAGTGGGTCGACTAGGGCTTTGATTTTATGCAACTGCCTAGCTAGGCTAGATCTAGCTACTCACTGACTTGCATGCACTGGTAGACTGGCATGCACGGCACTACTAGTAGTAGTAGAGTAGAGTGCGAGTATGATTCATCGCGATCGCACGTGAGTAGTCACTCGCGATCCTCGCACCTTCACTCTTCAGGCTTCACAAGTGACGTGTCGCTCTACTCGCTGCTTCGGTTCTGAATTGAACTGTAGTAGAGTCTACTAGTTATGCGTGGTAGTGCGCAATGCCAATGGGCAATGGTGATCGTTGCCATTGGTCTACTATTAGTACTGTATAAGTAATAAGTAGGCCTACTAAGTACTAGTATGTAGGTCAGCGGACTGTCACCACGACACTAGCACTGTCAGCGCGAGGTCATCTGCACCTGGTCATCGAGCCTCGAGCCGAGTCGAGGTGGCTGGAGATCGGGAGTGGAGGGTAGCTAGCGTTCGGGCCT